CGTGTAGGCTGTCTAAAAATCACAACAGATAGTTGATCCCCCATCAAACACCGATGATGAAAGTTACAATGTGATGACTTCCAGAAGCCTATAATTTAAAGACTTTCACGTAGATCAATGAAGGTTACAATCTGACGACCTTCACAACAACCGATGAAAGCTCTAGTTCAACAGCCTTCACAATCAAAACAACCGATGAAAGCTCTAGTTCAACAGCCTTCACAATCAACATCGGGAGTTACAATCTGATAACTCTCATATTTTTAAGGAGCCAAGATGAAGATTACAAGATGACGGTCTTTGCAACGCTCCAACAAAAGAGACCACAAATTGATGGTCTCTTCACATCAAAACGCAGAGATCATCCCTATGTTACAACCTCAAAACGTAGAGGTCATCCCTGTGTTACAACATCAAAACGTTGAAATCATGCCCATGTTACAACATCAAATCGCAGAGGTCATGCCCACGTTTCATAATCAAAACCCAAGGTTCATCCCCAACGCTCCAGTTAAAAACGCAGAGTTCGCGGATTCAAAATGCGGAGTTCATCTCTGCATCCTAACTCTGCATTTTAGATTTACAACGCAGTGTGACCTGTGCGTTTAGCCACCAAAATAGGCCCAACTCTGCGTTTCAAGCCTAAAACGCAGAGTTCGGGCCCTGAACGCTATTTTTTAGCGTTTGACTCGTTCAAAGCATGAACAGGATGGTTTCAAAACCATTTTCCCCACGATTTGGGGAGTTGTTTAAGGGGACGGTTACACCCTATTCAGCCTTACTTAGGAGCGAATTAAGGGGGTGGTTATACCCCTTAATCCCTGTAGGTATCTAAAAATACCTATAGGTGTCCGCACACAGCTCAAGACAGAGAGAAGACGACGAACGTCGTTATCCGAGTCTAAGAGGATTATCTGACGCCGAAAAGCGCCTGAAGCGAAACGGCGAATCAAGTGGCCTGCGCGCTCGACGGTCAGCTCGCGCGCGCTAATCAGCTCGAGCATGCCAATCAGCTCGCGTGCGTCAATCAGCACGCGCGCGTCAATCAGTTCATACGCGTCGATCAACACACGCATGACAATCAGTTCGTGCACGTCGGTCAACACTCGCGCGTCAACCAATTCGTGTGCATGCGTCAATCAACACGCGTGCATCAATCAACACGCGTGCGTCAATCAACACGCGTTCGATGGTCAGCTCCACAACGAAGCGTACAAGTCAACAAGACGATCAATTACGCAAAACGGTGGAAAATACAAGTCCTAAAAAGAGCAGAAAACACCAGAGCTCAGCAAAATGTCAAAACACCGCGTCCGCGTGGGTCGGACCGCGTCGACCCGCGCGGGTCGGCCAAGTCCGACCCGCGCCGGTGCGGGTTGGATCCATCCGACCCGCGCAAGCGTGGGTCAGACTTGCCCCCGTGCGCTGTTTCGACCCCTGTTCAGTTTTTTGACGGTTTTCTCAGAATTTATCTGTTCCAAGGGTTCCCAACTGCCTAGATATCATCTACAAACGTGGTTAGGCTGTTATTGACTTAAGATAAGGCCAAATCACTCTTTCTCATCCACAAACTCGCATCCGGAGCCCTATAAATACAAGCCTAGAGCCTCCTTTCAGCAAGGCGGAGTTATTATCAAGAGGACGAGGTGCTGCCAGATTGAGGAGTCAAAGGAGCACGAATTTTAGCGAGGGTTGACAGATCTTGACGAGTTCTTCGGCATAAAGAAGGAGAGTTCGAGAGATCCGACGCCCGTTTCCCCTATTTCCTTGAGATCAGGCTTGGTCTTGATCTTGAGAAGAGCTACTGATTTCGCTTGGTCGATCTCAGCGCTTCAAATCAAATACTTCCTCGGCGAAGGCGAAGCTCTGCCCAATTTTTCAACAACCAGATCTGATCAAAGATGGTCCACGGATAAACCCCGGCACAGGCAAAGATACCCACGCAAGCAGAAGACCGATAAACGATCTCCCTGCGTTTGTTTTGACGAGAGTTGTAATTCTTGTTTTTATTGTGTAAGAGTCTTATAAAAAGACTATATTTTTTGTTTTCATTGTAACGACTGAAGTTGTAATGAATACCGCAATGAATACAACAATTTTTGACGCAAACAAACTGGCGACCACAGTGGGAGGCAACAGCTTCGCTGTCAGAGCTATCGTGTCGCAACCTCAGATCTGCATCCCGGTTGAATAAGTGGTCGAATACGAGTTCGACTAACTGAAGTTTGAGGAGTATCTGTCATCCTCCTCCTCCAGATCCTCCGCCTCTCGCAATCGAAGGAAGATCAACGCCCCCGTTGCTGCGGTAGTTGAACTTTGCAACGCCCTTCCGGCCTCCGACAAGTCCGGATCTGCAGATCTGAACTGCTCCTCAATCAAGGAGTTAAGTACAGAAGGTGCGCCCACTCTATCGAAGAGAGTTCGCCAAAGGCAGCGACAACGCCTTGCGCGCCAACTCGTTAGGGCTTTGGAATCAATTGACGGGATCCGTTACGAGGCGGATCTGAAAATTAGGCAACGTCAAGCGCCCCAACAGCGGACAAATACCCTCTCCTCCAAATCACCAACAAGTGAATGGGTACAAGTCAAAAGGACCCGTTCAACTCTTGAAGAGCGGAACAAAAAGCGCCGCACACGGCTTGCACATGCGCAAATTCTTGCGCAAGAGGCCAGAAGGTTGCAGAGGGAAGAAGTGGAAAAGAAGCCACGGAAACTGCACAAAGTGTGGAGGCCAAAGTCCAAGATGGTGGCCGAAAAGATCGAGAAAAGCAGGTCACTTGGATCCGACCCTCCAAATCACGGGTCACTTGGATCCGACCATCCAAATCGCGGGTCACTTGGATCCGACCCTCCACTTCGCGGGTCACTTGGATCTGACCCTCCAAATCGTGGGTCACTTGGATCCGACCCTCCACTTTGTGGGTCACCCAAATCTGACCCTCCACTTTGCGGGTCACCTGGATCCAACCCTCCAACCCGCGGGTCACTCAAGTCTGACCCGCGCCAGGATAAAGACAGAAGATGTTATGCGCATGTTTCGTTGATCCCTTTGAGTTTCGCACCTCCGGCGGGGCACCGTGACAGCGTGGATTTGTCCCGATTCAAGGTGAGGATAGTCGATCACCTGGGTCCTTTGCACGAGGATCGAGGCAAAGTTCTGATCGAAGAACGCTTGGGTCCGGTGACTAAACCCCGAGCAACTCATCGAGCTGGGGGTCGCACATGCCCTCGCAATAATTTCAAGCCTTCTCATAAAGGAAAAACTCCAATTTCCACCCACCTGGGGGTGTGTATCCAAAACCAAGAGCCTGTTAAGATCCTGCGCTCCCAAAAGCGTGGTTCTAAACACGTCACTCTTGAGAATGCTAATAAAGCGGCAAATCCCCTGAAAGAAACGTATTCATTTGACGATGACAACGTTATACCAGGGGAGTCATGTCAACACACGATAGGTCGTTCTGGTCATCTGACCGATGTGTTGTACTATCGGGCTGGGGGTATGAACAAGTCTCGGAAGAGATATACCCAAGAAACCAAATCTCACTGCCCGTACGCGGAACTAATCAGGGCAGTATTATCAGCGTGTAATTGCCCTAAGACCGCTCCACAGAGGGCTTCGGTATTCGAGAGGATCTCTGACGGAATGACTAAGTCCAGACCAAAGCGTTTTCGTAAGAAGCGATCGGCTGTTCATGGTGATGAACTTCCTGAAGTTACAATTAACATGGATGATAAGGGAAAGTCAACTCGACCTTCTAGCTCCGATCCCCTCATATCGCATCGTCTGACTCGGCTACGCGCGGGAACTACGAGACGCAGAGACTACCAAAGATGCAGAGAGGGTTATCCTCGGATGATGAAGCATCAAATGCTAACTCTGCAGTCGCTTCTGACAATACGGTATCTAGCCCAGGACAATCCCACGAAGTGTTTATGATTAACACTGAGG